TCACGTATTTTCTCTGACGGTGGGAGGGCACCTCTGGGTGTTCAATGGTTTGCTACTGCTCGCCTCAAGCCAGAGAGCCCCTGGTCAAATTGGTGCAAACCTGCCAAAACCCCCCTGCGTCTGGTCGTGGTCACAGGTGCGTATCCTACTACGGTCGCAAAACTTAAATGAATCGTTCCAGTACCTCCAAGGCTGCGTGTGACGGACCTCAAGCAGATCCCAATCTGTCACTGCAGTCACATTTCCGAGCTAGATCTGCTCCCCACTGCCTTGTGGATCAGGCCGTTGAGTAAAAGGCTCCGGGTGAAGTCGCTCAAGGAAAACTGCGAAACACAACCGCCACCTCGCGTGCTATTGCCCACAAATGCAATCGTATGCCTGCGCGCAAAACACGCAGCACCGGGTGCTGGAACTTGCGCATACTACTGGACCGGCATTTCAGTGAGCGTCCCGAGCGACGCACTGCACTAGTCGCGATAGAACTGGCGTGCTACAACCTCGATATTGCGGAGTCCAGTGAGACGCGTCTCGCCTAAATGGCCAGCCGGTGGGTGAACCAACAGGCATCAGTATGCGTCTGATGACAGCTCGACTACGAATCTGAAGAAGTAAGTTTTCCACTTTTAAAAGCACCTACGGGCCATGTGTTATCCTGATGATACGCGTGATCGATTCCACTCAAATATCCTCCGTGGCACGGTCTGTGCCGAGAAGCGACCGACTATTTCTGCTGGGTGGCTGCAGCTCGCGCGTTGGGCGTGATTCATCGGTGTGGACAGATGTCTTCGGTCCGCATGCCATTGGTTCAGCGAATGCAACCGGTGACAGGCTGCTCTCACTGTGTGTCACTTACGGGCTGACGACCATGAACACTCGGTTTGCACTGAGTGCGATTGATATAGCAACTTGGACGCACCCACGGAGCGGTCACACTCACCTTCTCTACTATGTCATCGTACGTCAGTGTGACTACGTCAAGTGCGCATGACATGTGTACTGCCAGGAGCTGAGTGAGGCACTGGTCACAAATTGGTGCGGACCAAACTGTACATATTTTCGTAAATCTATGTATTGCACACTTGCCGTGAACCGGTGTAAATGTAACATTTTCTCTCCCTCGGTACTGTGACGAAAAGAATTGAGCTGGAGAAGGCGATTGCCCTACGCATGTGTGATGTGAACTACATAGATAGAGTGGGCGATCTGTGGCGCCACATTCGCGACCAGGTGACAGCTGCTGCCGAGGACACAATCAGGCGCAAAAACTGTAAGCCGTCCGATTGGTTTGATGAAAACGGTGAGACGATTGGAGCATTGGTGTGTGAGAAGCATGCATCATTTGCTACACATGTGGCAGACCCCAGTGACTTGGGGAAGAAGTGAGCTTCGCGGAATTTGACGGCGACTGACTCGCAAGCTCCGTCGTATAAAAAATGCACGGTGGAGGGAGAAGGCGAAGCAGATGGAATGCTACGCCGAACGCCGCCAACACAAGGAATTCTTTGACTCCTTGAAGGTGGTGTATGGACCGAGATTGGAGCCGTTAAGGACGCTGATCGATGGTAGCTCAGGAGCTGCCTGCACATGGACTCTAGATATAGTGCAACTCTGGCAAAATCACTTGGATTGTCTCTTGAACAACCGTTCAGAGATCAACTGGCCTATTTTGGGTGGCGTGAAGCAGCATGACGTGAAGGCAAGTCTGGCGGACACGCCAACACTGAATGAGACGCAGAGAGCACTTGCTCAGCTGCGAAACGGTAAGTGTGCTGGTGCCGACGTGATCCCGCCTAAACGATTGAAACACGGCGGACCCGCGTTGGTGAATGCGCTGCACCAGTTGGCGCAACGTATGTGGATGGAAGAGATGTTGTCTCCTGAGCCGAAGAATGCCCTTGTGCTACCACTGTACAAGGGCAAAGGGAGCAAGCAATGTTGCGCGAATCATCGTGGCAGCAACTTGCTGAGTTGTGTGAGCAAGGTGACTTAACAAATCCTACTCAGCAGCTTCGTCAGCCACGTTGTGGAACCTAACATGGCGTAAGAGCAGTGTGGATTCCGTTAGGGTCGCAGCACTATAGATATGGTGTTCGCGGCTCGTCAGTTGCAAGAGAAGTCTAGAGAAGGACACCAGCCATTGTACTCGCTTTTCGTTGATTTCACCAAGGCATTTGATACGGTGAACCGCGAGGCAATGAGGATGGTGTTGGGTAACTTTGCTTGTCCGAGTAGATTTGTAAGTTTAATTATATATCAGTAAAGCGGTATGCGGGTGAGGAGGAAGCTGAGTGGAGAGACCTCGGATGAATCTGCACTTTCCTGTGGTATGAAGTAAGGCTGTATCTTAGCTCCTGCCCTGTTTAATATATATCTTCATGCAATGATGTCATGTGCTTTTGATGCGGCTTGTGCTTACGATGTTCGTGTGAAGCACCGTATTGATGGTGGGTTGCTGAACATCCGTCGTTTCGGTGCGAGAACTCTAGTCTGTGAGACAACTATCCGTATGTTGCTGTTTGCTTACAACTGTGCGTTGTTTTCACACAGCGCGGATGAGTTGCAGCACACGACTAGTGCTCTGGCTTCGACAGCGGCCAAATTCGGGCTCACCATCAACATAAGCAAAACTGTCTGTCTCTTTCAGCCTTCACCGGAAGTGCAATCTTCAATATTGCCGCGAATCAGCATTGGTGCTGAAGTACTGGAAACCACCTCCCGCTTCTGCTACCTTGGGAGTGTGATGTCGACTGATCAGCAGCTACAGAGTGAGCTGCGTATCCGCGTGTCGAAGGCAGCGGCGGCATTCGGGAAGCTTGAGTACCGAGTGTGGAACAACCATCAGCTTACCATTGGCACGAAGCTGATGGTGTACAAATCCATAGTGCTGCCTGTTCTTCTATATGGCAGTGAAACGTGGACGATGTGTCGTCGGGATGTACGATATCTCGAGCGGTTCCATCAGCAGTGCTTGCGACACGTTTCGCGCGTCGTTTGGGTCGACAGAGTTGCAGACACGGAAGTTTTGCGCCGAAGTGGGATCTATGCAGTTGACTGCATACTTTTGCCGAGACACCTGAGGTGGCTCGGTCATGTGAGCGGTATGGATTCAACGCGGATACCGCAACAACTCTTATACGGTCAGCTGAGTATTGGGAAGCGGCATGTGGGGGAATAAAAGTTACGTTACCAGGACATGATCAAAGTGAGCCTCTCACGTTCTAATATTGATTGCAGGTCATGGGAATCAAAAGCGGTTAATTGGTGTGCATGGCAAGATCTGATCACGAAGGCCGTTGCGAAGTGCAAGAGAAAGACCTCGTGCATGCAGAAGAAGTGGCAGTTGCGGAAGTGACCGGCGCCGATGGGTTTTACTTCATCGACATCGAGCACATGGTGCTGTAGCACATGCGGTAGCGAGTGTCTGAGTCAGGTAGGCCTAGTGAGCCATGAGCGAGGCCACTTTGGGTCAACGCCGAAACGAGGAAGGGTTCTGCTGAGAAGGTAGGCAGAACAGGCGCAGCGTTGGCAGGTACGCTGCATTCGATTTACTAACCGGGTGTTTGCATGCTGAGTCTCTTTATTTCAGGTGTTGGGTTTGCTTTATTATCCTAACGCCTTTGTATATCATATTCATGTCTACCTGAATTATCTTCTATTAAATTGCACACGTCGCTTAAACTAATCTTAGCAAACTTTGATGACATTTTCGCCTTGTGGGATTTGCTTAAAATACATTTTCTGACGTATTAGACTTATCGCGGATTCGTGGGCAACCAATAAATGTTATATGCTCATCTAGTGAAGATTTATGTCACCATATCTGTATGCATTAATCGATTTATTTTACTTTATTTCGTCGACTCAAGTGGTTGGCTGTTGCTTGCAATCCCCGGTGCGACTGCTTTTGATTTGCATGTTGACAATGTGCATACCTGTCTATTACCCACTACCTCCTCCATACTCGATCCAGGAAACCGTTAATCGTTGCTCTAAGGGACGGGTTGCACAGTCCTTGTGGTCGTACGAAGCTCGAGGAGTGGTTCCTTATACTCAGTGTGTAGCGAACTACAGTCTAGCCACCGCCTTGTGTGCGATTGATTCCCACATACAGCGTGCTTGTGTTTGCCTGTGTAGGAGTGTGGGCCAGCTCCGTTGATGAAACGTGGCTCCCATCCGCATGCCTCCTGGTCTTATTCCTTCTGGTTTACACTGGATATGCGGTGTGTGGTTGGATCTGTGGGTGGTGCAGCGCAAGCCATCAATGGTCCCTCTTTAGGTGCAGACGTCCTGTGGCTGGCCACAGTTACAGGTAAATCGGAAACCGGATACCGCAAACCATTTAAGTACTAGGTTATCCTGTTGACTAATGTACAAACCTTCCACCAGTGCCCTGCGGCCTTGGTCTCTCAGTCCCGATCAAACGTAACATTAGGTACAAGCGACTAGTCGATGCAACAGTTTTGCAGTCTACGTTGTCGTGAAGCTCTTGCATACCGAGCAGTGTACACCTCTCTCAACTGTGTCATTCGGTAATGACGCGTGTGTTTCCGCGATTGCACATAATGTCAGTTTTATTTCTTACCTTTCAAAAACAGCGATACAGCTAACTTGGTATAAAAGTCAATGTACTTGGGTTACTACATAAACTGATTTGCTTTATAAATGCTTCAAAGCTGTCCCCAGTTTGCATTTAATTGTGACCTCGCAGGGGAATTGTATGGCTCCTGAAATGCAGTATCCAACAAAAAAATTTGTGATGCTTGAGGCGCGACATCAACAAACCATCCAGCACAAAGCAAATGTTACAAAATACAGCGACTTTGGTCACATAAAAGCTGTTTGGAACTGTTAACGCATCAGGTTGCGGACCGTTGTTACTCGCAGTCATACAGATACCACTTAACAGGAGCTGGTACAAACCACACATGGTCAGGTAAATGGTGCTCTTTCTGAATAGCAAATGTATTGTTTTAGAACATAACATCTTAATTATTACTTACATGCTGCGTGACCTGATCGGAAGCGTCTTGATAATTTGCTGTCAGAACATCACATTCAGCGTTTAATTCTCCCAAATCGCGTTCAGTCTGAAAGGTAAAATTACTTGCGGCTCAGTGAACCAGTTAAAAATTGCCCAAATTACGTCGTCACATAGCGAAAAACAAACAAGTTTCAATCTAACTGAACCCGCCTGTCTTTTGTACCTAAATGTAGACGAAGAGATGTCATCTATGAGTCTTTTGCCTCTAATACACAAATCATACTTTATATGTTGTAATCATGGATATTTGGCCGTACAGTTTGACCAGCATGGCAATAACAGTTTGTATACTTTTGGCTCGAATGGAAAAGCAGAGTACCGCGAAGTTGTACAACACTAGTGTATCTACCGCGCAGGAAAGCAAATACTCTTCCTCTATTCCGGCATTTTTGTTACCATGTGACTAGGTAGAGCAGATGGCAAGCCATATGCCCCAATCCATCTAGCGTTACCTGGAGTGCTTAGACACCATCTTAACACACTGAAAAGCCAGCATTCCAGTTTTACTGCTCTTGTTTCATGGGCAGCTTGTATTGACCTTCTTTTCCAGTTGCTGTTTTCAGATATATTTGCATCTTGGGCAAAACTCTCAGAACTTCCTCCATAACTGCAGTTGTACGGCCAAAAAGTCGAATATCCAGCAACGGATTTAAGCGTATTGCAATCTTTCCCAACACTGTGATGTCTTCTGTTATCACAATCGAAAGCAATCCTTGAGTCCAATGCCCGTGAGGCGACAATGTTCCACTGGGACTCATCAGCTCATATCGCCTTTCTCAACTCTGACCTCACTCTCAACACAGCATCCTCACACGTGGTATCGGATGACCTCATTTCACCATACCTACTGCTTAAAGAGGTAGTTCTTGTTTGCATGTATTTACCCTGTACCAAATTTCAACTAGCTACTTGATTCTGTCTAGATTTTTCTTATTTGCTTAGGCCCTTGGCAGAAAAATCAGTTATGTGCTGTGCCCCTGCCGAGATTCTATGTCATTCATTACGGTTGCTCCTTTTAGAGCGGGTTTTCGTTATATGGTATACTGTTTAATTCACACAAATGATCCCACGGGTGCAGTGTCATTTATCAAGTTCATTTGAATGGTGCGTGTCTCACCGGATTCCTGGGACGCATACTAGGATCACGCATCGAGGATACCGACGAAGGCAGTTGATGGAGGCTCGCTGTTCTCGCAGGAGCAGTAGGACATCAGAAGAAAGGATTATACATTATAACAACAAAGCAACCAAAAGCTAGAATGCCCGTCGTAGATGTCTTGCTTCCGCTTGGCGTTATAAGGAACAGTCAGCAAAAGCGAAGACAAAGAACAGAGTCGACTACTAATGCAACAACTAAGCCGTACGAAATTTAATGCTATCTCCTGAAATCTAAGCTTATTATGTATAGAACCGGTGCCCGCCACCTCTTAGAATATTTCTTACTAACATTCAGTAATTTGAGCAAAAGTGATAGAATAACCATGGAGAAATGCGGTGTTCCCTCACTAAGCGGCTGGTGGACTCTTCTGAGCTCAGCTCTAATGGTCGCTGCGAAAGTCTTACATTAGATCCTCTTCGGTTGCGTGGAATAGAAATCCGCCTTTTGATCTTGATCAAAATCTACCTCGCTGAACAACTTCCACATAGTGCCAGCTGCGCGGTTTGGGTTTATCCCGTCGCAGCAAATCGCTCTGCAGCAATGTTGCATGATGTGGTGGGTTTTTGCCTGTCAAACCTTCTGCCTATAAAAGCCACATAGGTCCGTTTAATAACAAGGTGACTTGCAGGACGTCACTTGCCACCTATAGTCACTGCATCATACTTCATTCTGGTGGAGCATAGTATTCCAACGATTTGGTGCTGAACTCGCGGTAAGAACTGGGCCCGTGTTTGGCAACCGGTCAAATGAAAAGCGTATGAACTGAGTACTCCGCCATCGGATTGTAATGGGTACAATTCCTCGAAGGCTTTCCACTACTTTGAAGGCAGGCTATTCAACCAACAGCTAAGGATGGTATCTAAGCCAAACTCCCTACATCGGCTTAGACAACCGGGTAGTATTGTGCCCTCTGAGAAAACCATGGTTCGGTATTCAATCTACGCTAAACGTATATTGTTTTGATTTTCAAGGCTTTTGATAAATCCATGTATCTTCGTAGACTGTCAATATATATATATATATATATATATATATATCAAACGGACCACCTATCGACATTAGGGTATTGGTTAGACGTTTTCACGTCTCCTTAAAACAAATTCTCTAGCACTGTCTTAGTAGATAATTCCTGAACAGCAGTTTGATTGATGATGACTTACAAGAACACTGTCTGATCGACTTTAGTGGCGCACCTTTTCGGACATACTGCGCATCAGATGGAAATCGAGTATTGCCCTCATGAAAATACAATATTCCACGACCGGTTTCGAGCTTAGACTTTTTCTTCATGATGTAAACGACCACCTCTAACGCTTTAGCCACCGAGTCACGACGGGAACGTTTAGCACCACGCTTAATGACTGCTGGGATAGTCATTTTGATACACTCGTTGTGCGAATGGATGGCAGTGTGTCAATCACATCAAAGTGAATCTTGATCAGATCGATATTGAGTGTATCGGTTAGCATACATGCCTGATTTACGGCCCCTACTCTCTCATTATATGCGATAGAACGAATCATCAGAGATTTGGGTTCAACCTTATAGAACCGATCAGTTGATAGCTCTAAATTCCCTATGAATCCCTTACCATGAGGCTATGCGAGCACAACAAAACCTACCTTAAACACGAACGACAATATAATTCCTTTCCAACAACACTGGATCAGATGATGGATAATTCCCGTTTCAGTCATGAAATAACGGCCTAGCAAACAAGATCGTGTGAACAAAAAATCATACGCATATGAAGCATTGCGACGCCTCCATCCTTTCTTGTCGTGTTGTATTTGGTCTGACGATGAATCACCGAAAACGAGCTTTTTGCTAGACCGTCTTTTCAACACTGCATCTGACCTCCTCGTGGACAAGGACGTTCATAGTCCCCATCTAATCATCTGTAAGCAGGATCAGTCTGTCAAATTTGCCGACACATGTGACTCGCTGGCCATTCCACATATTGGACGGTGGAATGCAATATCTCTATGGCTTACACACTTGACTCAGCATCGAAATAAGAAAGCTAATCGAAGCATGCACTACGCGCTGAAGTAAACGTAGGTTCAGTCCAGCACAAATCCACTTGAAGCTACGGTGAATCTAAGCTTCCTTTTATTACACTCAGGCCTGGGATGAAACGGGGTTTGCAATAATACTAATACTAATAATAGTCAAGTGTACAATAAATCGTTTCTCACATACCAGGAAGCATAACTATACGTAGTGAACTATTTCCTTTATAGGCTGAAATAAACCTGTGTTTTAAGCCGGACGCAAGCTACTGGCACATCAACTCAAAACATGATGTACGGGAAAAAAGAAGCCCTATAAGGTAGGAGACCACTTTTAGAGTGATGAGACCATGATGTGACCATGAAACGCAGCGAAGATCTCATGAAAGAATAGCTATTGGGTGTTCTAATACTTGAAGTGATTTAACATGTGAAACTTTTTTGCATAGCAACCTACCTTTACACGAAGTGCACGTTCCTCGTCAAGTAGATCTTCTAGCTCCTTTATTCGTTTCTGACGAGGAAGAAACAACACACGTGAAAGCGAAGTATATAACATTCCAGTGAATCCTTATTGTTATGGATGTATGGTTGAAAAAGGTCTCTCAGTGGTGAAGCAGTGGTTACGCCATCGCCTCATCACAACACTTCTGGGTTCCAAAGTTGAAATTCTGTCTTGAAGTCATTAAAAGATCTGTCGAATATATCAACCAACTTACGTGGCAAATGTACCCGAGGTAATTCCAATTATGAAGAGAGTTAGCTACATTCCAAAACATTACTTTTCGTACTGGTTAACGTATATATAACAGTGGATCAGCTAAGCGCTGCAGCCGCTACGATCGAAGCCTGTGGCCAAGTCGTTAACTTAAGGAATGGAGATTCTCGGTGGATCAATAAACCGGGTTAGCAACGTAACGGACTCTGTAAGTCCCACAGGGAGCACGCAGGCATTGGGGTGCTTCTAGCTCGAAAACCAGGATTGTGGTGTACGCCGGCTTGACCAGCCTCACGCCATTTCTCACAGGGTTGTGTTGACTCATGTGACCCGTGGTGGGCAGTGGATTTTAATCTTTCACCCTTCTTAGTGGCTTCTCTTGCAATGTTCGGTGGATATAGCGTCAAGAAATGCGCAACACGATCTCATCCTCTAACGGATGAAGCGCATCGCTTATGTTCCCCTGGAACGACAGTTTGTGAGTGCTTTTGGGTTCCGCTAGAGCGGGAGTACAGATATATTCCATCTGAGTAACGATACGTCTACCACTTTTGCACGATTATTCTAGAGGGCCCAGTCCTGAGTCAGCTCGTCAGAAGTTAATGATCCTTTGCTCATTGGGTGCTCATTTGCCACGCAGGTTTATGTAGAGCGCTAATGGATTTACTCCCTACGGACAACAATCTTTTCCGGCACATATGTTGTATGATTGACGCTAACACAAGGTGTGTCTGGAAATTTCGGTAAATGGTCCCATTTGTTAAAAACTTGGCTGGTTACCATGAGGGGTCTACGCATACGCAGTAAGAGACATGCCAACAAGCCTATCGTCCAAATCACCGAAGGGAAGCTGTGCTGCACGCTGAAACCAACTTAACGGTGTCAGTGTGTGAACTCATGTCATCGCAAAATGGAGCGCAAAATGGAGCAACGGGTCAACATGAAGTTTTGCTTCAACTTAGGTAAAACAACGACGGAAAATCATGAAAATGAACCCATTAGGGTAAATAAGGCTTTTTTTGATTTGACTTAGAATGTTAGTGCACATGTAAGATGTTGAAGCAGTGAGTAAAATAGGCGTCTTTGAATGCTTTTAAACGATTTAGAGACTGAAAAGAAGGTGCCGAAGCTGAGCCGTGTTCGAGTCGACCGAGCGCAATCCAAGACAACATCGAATGCGTTCGGCGGATGGTTGCAAATGATCGGTATCTGTCTTTGAGAATGATAGCAGAGGGGTTAAAGAAAACAAAGACAGCATAAGCAGTGTTGTTCACTTTGAGCAAAAAAGGGCAGTTTTGTCCTATTCGTACCGCACAAACCAACAAATGAGCAGAAGCAGACTCGGATGGAAATGTCTGGAGATTTCATCGACATGTCTGATCAGAATCCGGAGTGATCAACCTTATCTCTAAACGCAAGGTGAATGTACTTCAACACCCTACTTATTCGCCGGATTTAGCACCGCCAGACTCCTTTCTGTTCCACCGATTTAAATTAGCCCTAAAAGATTTACAATTCATAGACATTGTGGATATTCAACAACGTGTGATCACGGTGCTTCGAACGATTCCACAAGGAACGTTTACTAACATTTCCTAGCAGCTTTACATCCGACGTCCGATGTGTGTTGTAGCTAATGGTGATTGCTTTGAAGACCAGTAGACACTTAGTTTATAACTCTTGTTTCCTTCATTTTCTGAAAGCGTTCAAGAAACTTTGCATTCGCGCCTTGTATGTCACCGTTGTGGTTGCCCCAAAGAGGTACGGTGATCGCAGCAACCATCATACACATCCACAGGGGCCTCGCACACACTACATCTACGTCTTACAAAGAAAAATGTGGTAATACCAAGACAAATCACATATCTTCGACAACTGCGTCATTGAGTATCATACACTAGAGTTATTTGATAAGAATTCCCTCCGTAATTCTACTGCAAAAATCAGTGTTTGGGTAAGTTCTATTGCTCCCTCGGGTGGTATGAGGTAGCCGCTAACTCTGTGGAAGTCAGACAAGATATGGTATGTGGATGTTAGAAAAAGTAGACTTAGCTAGCCAACCACTGGACAATGTTTTCATCCTTTTGGGACCCTTTGACAGTGTATATTTCCCCCAGTTCGCTGAGGAACCTGAAGTTTTGATCCAGATTTTTAAGCTTTTGGCTCACAGTAGATACCTGAAAAGGAAGTGATAGCCGGAAGCTGGAGGCCGGCTACTTAGGTTTAATTGTGTTAAATTCCTGCTAAATCATCTGCATGTTACTACCACGTCTTTATGAACAACACTCCCGCAAACTACGTCGAATGTCACATGTTATCTGGCGGACAGTGGGTATGCACCTACAAGCGTAGAGGAGACCGTGCACTATCGCAACTACTTGCGGTATCTGCCATGATCCAAAAGCTTTAGTTTGTCTGCAAGATACTGGGATGCAGTTTTAAGCCCTTTACTGAGCCTATGGAACGAATCGGGATAAGCAACCTGTAAAGATCGGAACAACCTCCTGTTCCTTTACGTAATGTTTGTTAACTATTATCTGACTGGATCCAGTTAGTTTGGATTCCGTTGGAAATGTTTTTTTCTATTGTGTAGCACCCAGTTGATCCAAACAAGGTCGACAACGAGAACACCAGAGCGAGCATGTACATGGTTCTATCATCAGAAAAAATCCCGGCTATATGTCGGACAAGCCGTAACCATAACTAATCGAGTTAAGGAAAACACCAGACTGGGTAAGTCAGTAAGGGAACAGACACATAAAGCACCAACCAGGTGTACTGAACGAGAGTTAAGTAATGATCTTAGTCTCAGGAGGGAAGCTGTGGCAACCCCCGGGAATAAAATCAGTTAACGGCCACTAAAGCTGTCAAAATGATTCATTAAAACAAACATCTATGGATGCAGAAACAAAGATCAAATCACCAGCTATTATACAAAAAGGAAAACAAAAATTTCCTCTAACCGTTTCCCTCCAATAAGCATGCAGTAGGGTTGAGTGCAGCTCACCACCCATTCTCACATAAGGTAAATTGAATTTTTCTGGCAGCGCAGATGAGTTTATTCGCTGACATTTTAACCGTTTCTCTGTGAGCAATAGAGTTCAGAAAACGCGCCAATATCGATACGGATACCCTCGCACATATAGGACGCTGTGTTACTCAGGTGATTTACTATCAGTTGGAAACGCCCTACTTTGAGCCAACAAGCGCAATGAACCCGGATTCTTCTACCCAAGGGTTTGTTCATCCATCCGATATGTCTAAAACCACAGTAGTAGCATATCATCAACTAGAGAACAACAGATCATTTTCCATGGAACTTGGAACCATTGTGACATACCCTTCAATGATCACATTTAAGTTGTACACTATCAAACTCACAGCCTCTAACGCTGGTGCCACTTTTGATTGGCAGCTTCGCTGGAACTGATCATTTGGTACAGTTTAAATGCTGCGCTTTCCTGCTCAAGTCAAACGAAGTCAAGCCCTTCAGATAGAACCGACAAATACGCAGCTGGTGACCAGCTGCAGCAAATTACCCTTGATTCGGTTATGCGAAGCAGGAAAAAGACACCAATGAGTTGCTATTCGGTTTTATGCCATGCCGGAAATACGGTTCAATAGGTACGATGTTTCAGCAAATAAAATTCTGTCCATGTGAACGCAGTGCAGTACACTACTGGATTGATGGATTCTCAGCGAACTGTGTGCTGTCTTCCAATTCGCACTTGAACTGGCTTACATACATGGACCCCCTTGTACTATGCTGCGATGATGAAGTCAACCAAGTTCTCGCTGAAATAAACCACTGATTATTCGGATACATAAAAAGCAAGTTGCCCCAAACAATTGGGAATTGGACAGTCGGTGAATATGAATTTCACCAAAAACCTTCGATGTTTTCATCAACCTGCTATGGCCGAACCTAGAGAGACCGCTTCTGACCCAGATGCGGCTTACGGTCGTGTGCTGTATAAAACAGATTCGCTGGCAACCGGCCAACCGTGTGTGAGGAAAACAACACACAAAAATAAGCTAGGACAAGGTTTATTAAAAGGGATATAAGCTAGCTAAGGTTAAAAATAAGGCATCGAGAATATGGCATTCTAAGGGAGGTGTAAAAGGGAGTTGAGTGCGAATATGGACGCGGGGTAGTAGTTCGCGTCCCATCCCGGAAGACGGATGCGTGCCTGGCGACTCAAACAAACGTGTGCAACATTCCGGCAAGCAATTCGCTTCATTCCTTAGGTACTTAATAAAATGATTACTTTAGAATATGTTACGCATTCAGACGGGGAAATCCCTAGGTCACTACCTACGTACGCCATGCTGACCAAGTTCTCTTGTAGTTCTTTATTCGAGACCACCTGGCAAATCACAAGTACTACATGAAGCTAGAAAGTGCTCAACTGTCAGTTTGAAACATAAGTACTTAGACTTTTTGCTTAAGGATGAATTCAGACGAAGACAAACTTTAATCGTGTGAGTTCAAGCGTCTTCACCTGCCGCTGTGACACGCCAGCAATGGAGCAATGATTTATAATGGGTCAAAAGGTGATGCTTGCTAAGTTCCGTAAGATGGTTATAGTGAAGAATGTAAGATGAGAATACACTTTAAAGAAAATTACGCGCATGCCGCGACAGTCTCTATAGATTTATGGTAAAAAAGATGTGTTCCTGCCTGGAGTTTAAAGAAAAGCCAACATAGTTCATCGTTTTTTTTCGAGCTAATGCCTTCACTTTATGGTCACGGGCTTTAGCAAGTTGTGTAAAGAGGCCAGTGTCTTGTCAAGTCG